TTTGTTGAGATTGAATTATCAGTGGATGGGTGAGGATCTGTTGATCCTTTTGATGTAGCAGAATATCAGGAATACAGGTAGTCGTTACTTTAATCCCGAGGAATAGATTGAAATGAATTTTTGAGGGAGTAAAACAATAACGGAGCAGAATAACAAATTGGATCGGTGATTTAAAATTCCCTTGCAGAGATGGATGCGTATCTCTTTTTTAGTGAGTCAACAATGAATCCTTTTATATTGAAAACAAATGAGTGTGGATTACAATATGAGAATAGCTCCCTATAAGGTTTTTACAAAGCTGACAGTAATTTCATAGATGCAAGAGAAATTTGCATATTAGTTCGTTTTCAATATATGTAAAAAGGAAATTGCATAGAAATTGTTTTACCAATTGTTGTACAGCATTCTCACAGCTGTATCTAAGATTTGTATATAGGATAAAACCTTTACAAACTAGTTATCGGATATATGCTCAGATGAGAGAAACATTTTTAGACGATTTTAAAATTGGATAACTGATTTATTACTTTAATTATGGGAAGACATTTTATATGGTGTGTAATGTGATGCATTTATCTAGAAAAAAGATATTTATCTTATATTTTAATATGTTACAAATTTCTTCGATTTTCGACATTAGCAATTTCGTTTTCGCGACGGTATTTATTAGTAGGAAAATAAGAAGAAAATATGGTTTTGAAAATTGCAAACAAGGAACAGTTAATATCATGCGTTAGCTTACTCAAGATGAATAAGTGTTGCGTCATTGCTGGCTCATATAATTTTGAGTTTGAAAAGTCGAAAAAGCAAAACATATACGTCGGATCAGTGCTTCAGGTTGCATAAACTTTTACCTGTTAGAAAATAGCACATCAACCGGAATTAATTTAAGAAACGAAATCAAGAAAAATGAGAGTAATAACGTAGTCATTGTCATCAGCAATATTAATGATGTCATACTATCTTTAGATTATCATTGTTACACCACATTACAATTATTATTTTTAATCTTCAATAGTAATTTTTAAATGTGAAAATATAAGAATCCCTGAAAGAAGGAAAAAAATTGATTTAAATTTTTAGCTAATTGATGGTCTCTCGTATTTGCACAATAACGCAAGAATACTTCATGGCAATTTGACTCCCAGTGTTATTTACATAACACTATCGAGACATTGGAAAATTGCCGGATTTGCATTTTCGGTAGCTGCACGTGAATCGGTAAGCTAGTCTAAATCGATTTTAGTTTTTTAGAAACAGAAATTTTTTAAAAAATGATTAGCTCATTAGTTTAGCCGAAATTATTTTTGGATTTCTTTAACTAACACCAATTTGTTAAACAATCTGTGAAGGATAAAGGATGAAATCTATATGTTGGCTTTGCCAGTATCTTCGCATAATTTATATGCATAAGCATATTCCTCAGATATTTTACTGATAAAAAATATGTATGGTTAATATGTTTTATTTTCCATAAAGAAACGAATAAATCAAAATTTTTCTAATATTTTCCTATTTGTCTTCTAATTAGCTAACGAACAATGAAGCACTGGACAAAACAATATCTTGCTAAAGAAGCCTTTTCCAGAATGTGTTTCCATGTTTCCCTTGGATCAAAAAGTTACCAGTTCATTTGCAACCGGATCTCGATTTCCTAGCACCAGAATACTTGCTATCAAATACGGATTCGGTCACTTCAGCGGCAGATGTTTTTTCATTAGGTTTGCTCATTTGCTGGATGTGTGCTGGTATGTTTTCTTAAATTCAATTTTTTTTCAATTCGATTTATCATACTTAGTAGGCAATAGGTATAAAGTGCTAGCTATAATTATAGTTGATATAGGCAAGATTGATTGCTTTCTTTGAGAGACTGATACGCAAGGCTACTTTAATTAAATCTGTTTCTGGTAATTACTTTTGAAATTCATATCTCGAAATAATGGGAAGCAAAAATATTTACGGAAACTACTGCCAAAATATGGTTGCAGTATCAGATAAATTTATCGCAATTCAAATTCAGAACATGAATTGAACTATAAAATTAACATCATAAAATTAACGTTAAAGGAATTTATGCTAGACTGAATGTTTTTTGAGTTACCAGCTCCCTCTCCCCAAATAAATTTCGAATTCCAAATGATTATGTACAAAATTTGAGAAGTAAAAAAAACAAATTGTTTCGTTAGTTAATGGATGATTGTCCATATTACTTATTTAGGAGGAAAACGGTTAATTGATGCTAGAAATAATATCGATACATATCGCGTAATTTGTGGACAAGTAATAATTTTTATTTTTCCGAAAATTAGAGTTATATTTCCAATAATTTCGTTAATTTTTTTTTTGGGAGGTTTAGGAATTTTTTGGTAGTTAGGCTAAAAACTAGTATGATCTAATAGTTCTTGTTTGACAGAGAAAATCTTTGTATTTAGTAACCATAAATATCCGAGCGTAGCTCCAAAAAAAAATTCTAGCCGACCGACCGATCGGCTCAATGGCAAAATTAGAGCGTGACAAACTCATCATATGGAATGTTTTAGCAGCAATAGATTGACCAGTCATTGATGAATGACCTATCTATTGACTATTTCTTATCTTTTTCAACATATGGCTAGTAAGAATAAATCTCTTTTTGTATGACATTCCATTTGATTACGCTTATAGGCAACCACCCAAACTGTGATGCGAATATTTTTTTCTTCATTATTTATTACTTTTATACTATGTTATCAGTCATTGAAATTTCGAAATTCTCCCACTTTTTGAGCTGATAATTTGCAGCTAAAAAAAATTGGTGGTTTTACCATAAAAGTAATAGGCAGAAGCGAAAAAGCAAACATTTGATTTTGCACGGAACTGAGAATTGAATCGATTAAGAAATGGGAATATAAGCAATTAATAGGATTTATTGCTTCTTTTGTAACGGAATTTTGTCTTAAAATTGTCAGAACTTATATTTTGGCTAATTGAAATATTCCTGTGGTGTAGTGCTATTCCTCATGCTCGGCAGATTTCGGGACCAGTTTCAAAGGAAAAGAAAACATCTTTAAATCATAGCTATCTCTATCGGTGTGCAAAGTTTTTTTACAACTATTTTGCGTTAGGATATTATTTTTTGTTACCCTTTTTCTCCACTTGGGCTTTCTCAGGGTGACTGTTTTTCATTGCAGCTTGATACAGCACTGAAATGTATTGCCGAAGAACTTGGACCAAATTTACTGGATGCCATGGAGAAAGTACTCAGTTTGGATGTCGACAAACGTCCTACCGTCCAATTTCTTGCCTTGGTTGGCAACAATTTTTCAGTGTCTCGAACTCATTACATTGGTGGGAACGGATTTGTTAACCTAATATTCGAGGCATTGTACTTCACCAGATTTCGCCATGAAGTTTATACTAACCTTATCATCTGCGCACACTTAATGTTTCATGTTTTCTTGTGCATTTGCAGATAAAATATTTCGATGATCCAGCACTTTCTGCACTCCGTCAGCTTGATGACATCATGCAAGTTTTTGATCCGGGACAAAAGAATGTGTTTTTGTCGCAAACTCTTTACGATAGTCTACCGATTATTCCGGAAGTAAGGAATGATGTATTTTTTTGGAAATTGGAAAACATCATTGGGAAATAAATACTTCTCAGACTGATTTGAATGTTCTTCCCAGTATGTATGCACAGTTTTGAAAAAAAGAAAAATGTTGCATTGCAGAATTTGTGGTTCGTAAGGATATTACCACGTTTTGATGAATTCTTTATCGATTGCTATGATTTATACGTTGCCTTATCTCGTCCATTATTCTATATGTTAAATCATTGTGAAAGCCATAATATAATTAGATTGAAGCCATGGATACACAGGATCGTACATCATGCTGTCCAACGCACGGTTCGCCTGCTTATTACTGTATTTGCCGTCTTTAAATTTTGCTACCGTATTCTTGTCACGGACAGTTTAGTATTACCGTAGTTTTCCCAGATTCTTATCCTGCTCTATAATCATTCGGTGACCAAAAACGTGATAAGGAACTGCTGAGTTATCTATAGCTCAAAACTTAGAAAGTCAGAAATCAGAGTATATAAGTAAAAGTAAATTTTCAGCTAACTCCTTTAATTCTGGAAAACATGGATGTATTGTTTCGACGTTTGTCAGATGATAAAGAAGTGGAGGATCAAATACAGGATTTGATTGTTATGTGTGTTAAGTCGCAGGATGTTCATATTCAGGTGAATATTGTTTGGAATTTGTTAACTGCCATCAGTTTATAAGGATTTCAAAGTTTCAGTCATTTTCAATCTTACATTTGTGTATTGATGTTCATTGCACTGCACAATACTTCTGTAAAGATGTCCATTAATCGTCACGCACTTTTATAGGATAAAGTAATCCGTAGCATTCCATCGACAGCAGAATTTCTTTCCAGTTGGTTCCTTTCAAATCGACTTATTCCTTCGTTTAATTATTTTTCATCGTATCTTAATGGCAATATTTCGGTAATTTTTTCCTAAGAAATATGCAAATTAATTCATTAATTGATTTCAATTTTTGAGTATCACATCAACTATTTCATTTCAACTGATGCTCCTGCTGTTTACTCCAGATATTTTACTGCCTTAAGCCTTTTGTAGCTCTGCATGCAAGAAACTTTGCAGAACTTTTGACTTTTTGGTTTCAGATCTGTAGATGGATGGTTTTTCAGAGGCAATTAGATTTCTTGGCTTTCATTGGAGCGCTGTCAGATCGTTGCGATTCGAACGTACTAAATATGTTAATTGCGGCAATACCAATGTGCAATATGAAACACAACGCTGTCATACATACAGTATCACGTGTGCTAATATTACTTTGAATAAGTCGCGTCATTACAATATTAGTCATTTCGTGAGTCGAAAAATTAAATCATGGAATCATGGAAAAGTTCACAAATTGGAGTGTCCCTTGTCAAGTGAGGCGCACCTCGCATATACAACAAAATTTATATTCATCGTGGCCTCGTATCACTGGTTTTAGAGAAAGACGATGTTTAAAAATTCCTGGACATGAAGGATTTTGAAATTAATTACCTGATTTTTCATTAAAATTCTGATTAATCAAAAAGGAAATCGATATGCGGAATCCATAAGTATTTATCACTTTTGAGGTTTGGTACAACGGATATTGATGTGCGATCCTACACGACTGCGTGATCGTGCTGCGATTTGTACTTATCTTTTAAGCCCACTAATACTTGGATTAGCCTCCAATGATCTCAGAAAGGCACAGTTTGAGGATTTGATCAGTACAGTGCGAATCTTAATTGACATAATCGAACACTTGAGAAATATAGGATCGGATAAAGATTTGTCCCACAAAAATTCTCTTTCGTCGTTTGGGTGAGCTTTGTTGACATTTTAATTGGTTTGAAATGCACTGTCACTTTATTTAACTTAGTTTTTTTCCTTATGCAGTTTTTCCCTTGTCCTTCGTTTTCAAAAGTAATTCAATTTACTGATCTAATACACTGACCCCCTGACCCAATAGGCAGGTAGTACAATTAGGAAAGTTGCTTTACCCTTCATGCTTCATATGCATCAAATCTGGCTTTTATTCCTACTTTCCATTCTAACTAACAGTTTGGACTTAATTGTTAATCTTGGTATGTAATTAATTTCTTTATAGACGAATGAGCAGTCGACGTGTGAGTATGAGTAGCAATCATTTACCGCTTGTTATGATCACTGCTGCGAGACCTACATGTTCTGGTTGCGGATATGATTCAAGGTGACTTACTTTTTCACGTATATCATCATCGTCTAATCATAGAGTGCTTATCATTTGAAAAAAAATAATAAAAATCAATGGGAAATAATTTGTTAAAGTCCTTTTCGAGGGAGGTCTGTAATGTTATATCACTCAGTTTAATCAATCAGTTATAACAGTGGGCACTAATGTTAGAGAGTGGCTTAATGTTCTCCAAATGTCCGAAAACACATTTCTTCCCATGCTACTGACTAATTATCTTTTTCTGACTTTCAATTAGTTTTATGTGAAAGCTGTACAACTTAATGACAAGCGCAAACTCAACACAATATACGAACGGAGCTAAAAACTTTCTAAATTAAAAAAAAGAAATTCAAATACTTCTATAAACTTACAGTCTGAGAAAGATATCGTTCCTGTCTGCAGATGGACGTTTGGAAAATCGGAGTCGTGCCAGTTCTAAAATGAGCAGCAAAAGTTCCTTGGAGTCGAACTTGTCACTGAAGTTAGGTAACTCAGAAGTTTCTAAATTTCTATCCAACACTGTTATTTCAAATTCCTTCAAATAAAACTATAAAGGCTTTCATGTCTTGATATATTATTATGATGTGAGGAATGTGGAGTGAAGAAACAGAATAGTCAATAAATCTGTGTTTAAGTACTAGCAAGAATAACATGCGTCTATTTGGATATGACGGTGTAATGATCCATCAGTACATGTGTTAGTTATCTGAATGCCATTTCTTATTTTCCATAGAATTTCAGTTTACTTTAAAACATTTCTTTTAAGGCAATGCCAGTGATGTATCCGATGAACAGCAACCGTCATCATCTTTCGAAACTAGGCGAAAGTCGTGGTTGGATGCTGATATCGGACATCTTCTCGACCAACCCATCACCGAGAAAGCAAATCAGCAGCGGTTTATTTCTTTATATCCAAAAAAAAAGTGGTTCATCGAGGCATTATGTGTAGAAGCTCTTTGTGGGAACATAGTTTTATTGATTGGATCACTGAAGCCCTTGCTACCTTTGGGCCGGTACTGATTCCAAATATTTTTTTTACCTGCTGGAATTTGGCTCTGATTTCCTTATATTACTCCTAAATTGAGATAATATCATAAGTTTTAATAAAGTTTAGGAAGCGTTGCAAAAGTGAACGACGATCGAGAACACGTTCATCAGTAGTTGATGAAGTTGGCGGGACGGGACAGCCAACTAGGCCGAATAGTTTCACCAATTTAGGTCACAACCTGGTGGGAAATTAATCAATTGAAATACAGAACGATTAGGAAATTCTTACCTGTTATAAGTGAAAGCATTATCCATCTGAAAGTATTATCTGTCTAAGGACTCTCAAATAATGTTGACTCTTAAATAAAGATGCTTATTACAACGTTAAAAATCATTTCCTCGGGATTTTTGAAAAGTTTGAAATTTCTCTATCTCTATGTTTTGTAGTTATGCATAATTACGCCAAAACGATTCGATCCATAGCCTGGATAATTTATAACGATGGTTTTAGGTTTGTCAAGCATCTGTTTTTTAATTATGCAATTTCAAATCTTCAGGACAGCATATTCCTTGAAAATGACTTGTTTCAGGCCTGTATGTTATGGAAAACCTTTCACTGATATGACAATCGTGATTATATTATTTTGGGTCGGTATTGCTATTGAAACTGCACATCCCTACATTCCTGTAAAACATGAAAGTAATTAAAGTGCCAGATCATGTGAAATCGAAGAGAGTGTGTGTACTAAAAAGTTCATAAATTTGTGAAATGGTACAGCAAAGCAAGTGTATACAAAAAGAAAAAAAACTGATTCAAGCACTCTCAACAAACGAAATGGGTACAAGACACATAAAAAGAAATTATCGACTGGTTTATAGTATTGTTTTCAAGAGGATGGAATAATTGGTAGGACTTGAGAAAAACTGATAATTTGGAAGTTTGAAAATCAGTCGGCAATCGTTTTATCTTCAAAGGTGATGATGCTAGTAAATGACGGTTTCTGAGTTCAATTTTAATTCACACAATCATGTTGATAACGGTCAAGGTCACTGTACAGAGAGTACTGCCGAATTAGATGGATGTCCTTGAAAAATACTCGTTTTTCTCAATTCGTTGTTCCACTTCTATCGATGAAAGTTTCTGCTTTTATTGGTAGTTTGCAAGTTTGTAACAAGTTATATGCAAGAATAAAGGAAGGAATAAAAAGATTTCGTTGTATAACTATATACCGTTGATTACTATCTTCAACTCCTATCATCATCATTTCGACAACGCAAAGAACATGCATTCCAGTCGGTCGGCATTTATCAAATACGTTGAAGTTGGAGAAGTGAGCGAAGAAGTGAAGATCGATATATGCGCTTCTCATCCTTTAACATGATCGCCATTCTCTATTTGTTACTATAAAATTTACATTGTGATGTGCTTTCACATCTTTGCGTCATATCTATGATGTCTTGTCCTTCGACATGTATATAAATAGAACATTCATTCCTTTGTTAATTTTGATGTGTGATCTGTTGGTAATAAAAACTTTAATACTTTTACCGGTTTCTTCATGTCAATATTTGGGTGCGCTTTTCCCTATACACATTTGAGGGGGTTGTCAGTAAAGCATTATAGCTGTTGGAGTGCTGAGCTGACAAGTAATCAAGACTTCGAGTGTTCTAGGGCGGAGTAAATATGAGGTTATTACTTTAGAGTTATCCTGCTATCAAAAATATGAGCGCAGCAACTTTTATAACCGAAGTATTAATAACGTCCAAAGAATTCATCTAAAGCTAGGCTATTCATTACGCTTAGCGAATCTTTTTCGGAAAAGAATCAAACCTAAAATACTAGAAGTAAAGTGAGGACTTTATAAAACATTTCCTTTCCATTTCAATCATTTCATTGTCAGTCATTATTTTCTTCGAATTCGCCTTCCAACATGTCATTTTATCAGTGTGAAAAAGAGAACTGCGAAAGAAAGAGTTTTGAAGAGAAGTTCATTCGCAAGGCAGGTCAGAAAAGTGTAAGCCTCAAGTGCACGCATACCCTATGAACAAAGAATTCGAAGTTCGGATTTCAGATTAAAAAAAAAGTATTGTCGCATCAATATGATGCCATACCCCCATTAACCGAACAGTTCGCTACACTCGCACTTTTGGTCAAATTCTGTTTTGAGAGTACGGTTTGCCATATGGAGTTTTTTCAGTTTACTTATGTTCGTATTCCCGCTTTATCATGTGACTGTATGTCACTGTTTGTTATCATATTTATTTCATTATGCGATAATATTTTTTCAGTTCATTAGCAAATTCTACTACATTTCACATTTCTTTTGTTTCATATCTTCCATTATTGCTAAGGAAAGGTAAGTTGTGAAGAAAAAAAATGATAAAAGTAGGTGTGACAGTGTTGACTGTTTTCTCTTCCTTTTCCTCTTGCATTTTTAGTAGAATTGTTGTAAAGTTTGCGCACTGAAAATTTCTTTTCCTCCGAAATGAATTGTACCGAATAGAAGCATATTGATATGCCGGCCATTTTCGTAAAATATTTTTGAGGTTTTCATTTTTATCTGTAAATTGCGAAACATAAGGAAGACCTTTCGAGCTTCTGCAGCCATACTTTTTGTGCTGTGATTATTAATACATACTGACCTGTTGACAAGTTCATGCTTTCTGATGCACTCACGAGATCCTGACATGTTCAGCTTCCGCCCCGTATAGGGGTTAGCCGCAGAATACCTCCAAAGTCTTCAGCTCTATTTCCGGGAACAGAGTGTAAAAGATTGTCATGGTAGTATGAGGTTCTTCGGTGGTAATTCCGTCTTTCCGAGATTCAAAGAAGAGCATTTTTACAGCGACACGTTCCATTTTCCCAGGAACTGCGACAAATTTGCCGAGAGTTAGTTACAATTCTTTTTTCTTGTGGAAGAATTTTGACCATTTGATTCTTTATTTCAGATATTTTAACATCTCTTCATCATCGTTTCGAATAACAGATCATTGAAAAGACCTGAAGATATTTTATATCGATGCGAATCAGTCCTTGTGGCACACAGAAAACGATACAACAAACGCCTGGTTAGTTTCTTGGAGTTTGACAGGTAAAAACTAAAAAACTCCGTTTGGATTTAGCTGATTTTTGTATGGATTTAGTTCTGAATTCTTAAGAATTCAAGCTTCGATCAAATTTGTTAACTTTAACTGTAAAATTTGTAGAATAAATTTAACAAATTTGCAATATTGAAGAATTCGAGCTCGAGAATTTACGAGACTGTATCAGTGGGCGATTGCAGCTTTCTTCCGTAGAGTTTGACAGGAGGTGAGGCAAGTTTGCTGGGAAAAATAATTACAAGGTGGAGAAAATTTCGAAGCTTCATTTTAAAGATCTTTAGAAATCTCTGTTATATTGCAGTGAAAATGATTATTCAGTTTGGTGCAGTAATCAGGCAATTTTTTAGAAAACTTACCCAGTGGTGCTTTTTGCGAAGGTAGTAGATTCTGTGGGAATGTCAAGTCCTAATTCGATTCCTTTTTGTTTGCTCTCAGATACCTAGTAATTTACGCAAAACTTTCTACTGGACCAATCAAAATTTTAAAATGCTGGATAACATTAAAACTGACTAGTTTACTGAACATTCAAGAGAACCATGCGGAGCTCACATTATCGAATATTTCACTTTAGATTTATGGAGAAATAATGAAGGAAATGCATTTTTGTTCTCATACAAAAAAAAAATTTAAGAAAAAAATCTAAAAATCTAAGCATAGATTCTAAGCAAAAGATTTAAGCATTTAAGATTCTAAGCAGAAAATCTAAGCAAAAATCCAGGCATAGATTTTGTATATCCGTATTAATCTATTAATTTATTCTTCATCTCATATTGTGTTGTTCCATATTATTAGGATCTCTGAAGTTATCTGGGTTTGTTAAGGGTCCGCGAATCTAACTATTTCACTTATCTGTCCTAATTTCATTTTGCAGTTGTCTTTTAAAAAGCAAAACCCAACACATTTACTCTCTAAGAGCGAAGTGCTTTGAGTAGTAATGAAGCATGAAAGAATTGTTTCCGAAATTTGAAGGTAATATGCTGCCGGCCATTGGTTAGCTACTTCTGAGAAATCCGCAATAATTTTCTTGGAGGCACCTTGTAGGTAGAACACTACTAAGGATGTACACTGAATTCCTAATTTACCTACATTTATACATAAAGTTTTGAATTTAAAATTCGTGATTTCTATGGACAAATGTTTTTGATTTTTTTGTGTTTTGTAATAGAATTATGGACGAATAAGTATTATTCAAAAGATTTAAATAGTTCTTTATACGATATCAAATTTAGTCGTTGTTGTAGTCAAAAATTACGCTTCATCTGGTCTTGCAAAATCACGAGTCAATCACGAATCAGTTTTCAACAAATCAATGTTGAATATTTCCTTACTCTCAAGAGAACGATTCATCTTCGGAAATTTAACGAAAGAGAGGTGATGTGTTAGGCTTGCTGTTCTGCTGTGGATTGCGTTCTTACTTAACTGCATTCTTATTGGAAATTAGATGACTGATACGAAATGAAGTCTATCGAACGTTCCTTAATAAATGTTTGTTGAGTAAATATATATTTTCAATATATAATTTTCAATATAATTGAAAATTATTGCTTTGTTGTAATATCATTTTGATTATTCTACTTACCTCCGAATGATTTAATTCGATTGGCTTTTTTCAGAATCGTTTTATGAATCCAAAGTGTAAAACCATCATTATCTGTCACCATCGCCGACCACCCTAGCAGGCCTCAATTTCTTACTTCCGTTGTTCCCATTATCTTCCACTTGTGTTTGGATAAGCATTCTGCCGTTTTAAGGGTTTGTTTGTTTTTTTCAAACTTCTTTTAGCATCTTATTTATGAGTTTTCGGCAATGACTTTTGCCGAAATTTATATTTTTCAGTATTGTCTGCAGATGAAAATGTATTACAGTGTAGAGTTCATGCTAAATAAAATTGATAATGTGATAATGGCATTTAATAAATTGCGTCCGATTGCTGATTGGAAATATTTATTTATTACAAATGAAAATAAATATAAAATGTTGATTATGTTCACCAAATTAAAAGATTTTAATAAGTTTATGTTGCAGCATGTCAACTTCCACTCTGTCTGTTGGTTCTCTTGATGAAATTACTTTTTCTGTAGAAGATGTGCCCAGTGTTATTGAAGATTATTTTTTTGAAGGTTGTAGTTTCTTCTTAAAACATCATTACAATTAAGGAAGTTGTTGTGGCTGATAATCCATTCTGGAAACCTAAATTCACGAGTTATAGCTCCCATAATTCAAAATTTCTGAGTTACAGTTCAAAACTACTTTTCGTCAGAAATCTAAAATCGCTTGTCTGTATTCACCGTAGAATTTTGATGCACTCATGTCAATTTCTAAATAATAGAAATTTAATCATTCATTTTAGGCGCTGAAAAGTTGCTAGAAATATGGTTTGATAAAAATCAGGGTGGAGCCACATCCTTGAGAAGCATACCATATTCGGAATTGGTTGCTATGTTGGATATCGCGCGCTGCCATATTTTGCACTCTAGAAGCAGTGAGTGCATGGATAGCTATGTTTTGAGGTAGTAAATTACTCAAAAAGTTCTTGAAATATATATTTCCTATTCTGTATTAGCGTAAAATATCAGCAAGACTAGTACAATCTACAGAAGATGCTTAATTTTTTATACAGACTTGTTTGTATGGTTCAGAATTTCAGAACTTTTTCCCATTTCCGATATAAGGCTTTTAGAAAATCAAAAATTGTAAAAACCAATTCAAGGATTTATTTTCACCTATCAAGCATTATTGTTGGTTGGTAACTTTCGCAAACAGCATTGCTTATAAAGTCTTCAAAACCTGAAGAAGTATTCTATTAGGAGAAGCCTAAATTTATAAATTTACAGCGAAAGCAGTATGTTTGTCTCGGATTTCCGTATTATTTTGAAGACATGTGGTACAACACGGTTACTTCACACAGTAAGACGGATTTTACATCTCGCGAAAATATACTGTAACGTGGACAACGTTGTCAGTGTTTTCTACTCAAGAAAAAGTTTTATACGTCCTGAAAGACAGCCGTTTCCACACTCTTCATTTGAAACTGAAGTTGATTATCTTGAAGAACATTTCACAGGTATAGCTTGTTTTTTTTTTTCTACAGGCATGTCTTCTCACCTTGTTATCCTAATTTCAGCGTGAATAACTGGTCTCCTTGTTTTGTTATTGTTACTTGGAGTCAGAAAATGTTTCTTTGCCATTAATTTTCAAGACTTTAATTTCGACAATTTTTTCTTCAGGTGGCTCCGCTTATTGTATCGGTCCACGGAGACAGGATTGTTGGTTTCTATACACAATGGTTGCTCCACGGGCTGCTTTCCCATTTCCGGAACATACACTCGAAATACTTATGAATGGATTACCAGAAGATGTTCTTAATGTATTCAACCCTAGCGTAAGCAAGGATGGAAAAGATTGTAGAATGGTAATTATTACTGCTAGTCTTCATCAAATTTAGTCTTTTTTTTCCGATAATTTGGAAGCTTGTGACTCATTTGCTACCTGACATTATCCAAATAGCAATTCACTATGTCAGCTCTTGCTTCTGTTATTGAAAGCAGGAAACGAACTTTTTACAGAAATCTGCCATCAATACGATATTACCACCTGGTATCATCGTCCATGAAGAATTATTCAATCCATGTGGTTATAGCTTGAATGGATTGATTCCACACTCAGTAAGTGTCAAGACGACATTTATAAAATTATTTTCCGAATTTGTAGAATTTATTTGATTATTCAACCTGACGAACTACTTTTCAGGATCATTACATCATGATTCACGTAACACCAGAACCAGATTTCTCTTATGTCAGTTTCGAGACAAATCAGAATACGTTGAATTTGAGTGAGCAGATGCTGAAAGTTCTAGAAATTTTTAGGCATGTGTTTGTTCAAATATCATACTGTGAAACTTACATGATTTGTGGAGTAATGCAAGTTTAAGAAGATAGTATTCGAGATTTCACGAAATCTTTTTGTTTTAAATATCGTCTTTTAAAATGACTGCCTGTTTGAGAATTATTGCTAACGACTTCACCAATCTACTAGGGAGTTCTTTGCAGACCGAATAAATTTTTATTGACCATTTTCACCAACGACCTGTCAAATGAAGGTAAAGAAGCGCAGAAGAACTTGTGGGATTTGAAAATTTGTGGATGTCATCGTACGAATTTGCAGTTCCTGGAATTGCCGGTACGATTTACTTTTACTTGGAGGACTTAAAGTTTAATTGCGGCCAAGAATTTGGGACAATTTTAACTCCCGTTACACTACAGCACGACTTTTGTGAAGACATAAGTTCGTTTACTTTGTCGCGGAAATAGCAAATGTTGAGTTCGACTAAAAGACGCAAAAGGGCATATTTTCTAAGATTTAAGTAATCATCTGGCGAAAACTCCTACATCACTTTGATTTTTATTATTTTCGATCATATCGTATCCCAAGTTCCTGTTCGATTGATGGACAGTCCTGAACTCCAGACATGTTTCATTGATCATTCATTACCACTAGTATTTTATCCTTTTTCATAGTTTTTTATTCCAGACTGAAACATTAGTATATGCGCAATTCGAGCGAGCGGAAAATATGGAGTAGGTAACAACTGCATTTGTAAGAGAAAGTATTTGACCACTGATAAAGAAAATTATAGTGATGAATAATGAATGTTTGAGATTGTTCACCTTCCTCAGACCAGGTTTTTTAATTGATGGTTTTATACTATTCTTAGTGTTTTCAGCTTTTTTCCTTTTAATATTTCCTCTTTTTTATTCTCTTTCTGTAAGCTCCTTGTTAAATGCACTGTTTCTGATATATTTGGTGGTAAGCCGTTCATTTTTATATCTTTCTGTACTACGGTTATTTCTAGGAAATCTTATTACCTTTCACTTCTGCAGCAGAATAAATAGTATGCAATTTCGGCAGAATGAAAAAAAGGAAGGAAATAAGTGGGAAAAAATGCCATAAAGTTCGATTAGCAGTGGGAATGAACTAGAAACAAACTCAAACTAGGTAAGGATTTGGTTAGGAATCAACTAAAGCGCCCACTTACGCACCATATGCTTTATCTTCAAGCTTTTTGTTATCTGTTTATCTCTGCAACTTTTTCCTTGTTAGAGACAAATACTTTACGTAGTTATTCTAATAATGAGGCTCCTGAGCATGTTCGAAAGCGTTAATACTTAGTTGTTTCAACAGTGCACAACGTTTTGAAAGGAGAAGTTTATATAATCTGCCCTAGGTCTTCAGTGAAGTAGATGGTCATGCAAGAACAACGTAGGCGTTACCCGACCACAACTGACGAAGTTTCAGACGGCTAAAAAAACAAAAACGACACCTTTTATACTGCGAACTTTTTCCCATTTCTCGTTTCTTTTACCATAATTTTACCTTAATTTACCTTAATTAGAAAATCCATGAATATCATAATGCATACTAATTATACCTGTCACTAACAGTGGGACTTAAATTAAATAAGGACGTGTCACTGAAATAATGCCAAACAAATAACACGAAAGAAACAAAATAATGTTTTCCTTATATTAGCTGATTATATGGAAGATAAACGAAAACAAAGTTGATAATTCACTTGGAAATTTTGGGTTTCCCAGTAAAATAATTTCACTTCATTCACTTTTAACCTTCACACGATATCGACTCCAGCGTACAAGAGTTTCTGGTGATCGCATCAGAAAAACAAGCTTGCCATATAGACGAGATTCCAAGTAAAATTGATGTTTTTCGCGAACCACATATATGTCATGGAACAGACGTAACAGGTTCTCACAGTTTGGAATATTTTCGATCTGTAAGAAAGCTCGTAACATAGGTTAAGAGGGTCGAAGTAACACAAGGAACTAGTCCTAGATTCATCAACTTCAGTTATTGGTACGAGTCTAAGTCAAAGTAAAATTCAAGCACAAATCTAAGACTGTTCGATTAAAAAAGCTATGTATATGGTGAAATTACAAAAAGACACCATAGCATTATGTATTGGCGTTCGTACAATTTCGCGAACAAAACGACCAACAACTAGTATAACAGCAACATACATCGCCACCATACCACCTGAACCAACAATGACGCTCATCCAAGATGGTACCACTCGATCAACAAATACAACGAACTTTTGTTCCCATCTGAAGTAAAATATGCACGTAAGCTTCGGAATCAACCCTGTATTTCTAGCATCCTTCGATCTCTCGTTCCTTTTTCCAAAAATTTGAAGATTTCAGAAGTTTGGAAATAGAAAACTTACGTAATACTCCAATAATCGCCATGGTATTGCCATGTGCTGTTAGAATGAATTCGTTTCAAAGCCAAGTTAATGGCATCAGCTGGTTGCAAGTGACCATTAGGAGGAGCTAGTAAATACTGCGCGAATGGGAAACTCATTCTAGCAGCGGTTATGTTGCCATTAATCAAATCCAGGAATATCTTCGACTGCAATGAAGTTAACACCGTTGCGAGAATGAAATTATGTGACCGCTGCCTGGAGCCAACAGGTCGGAGAAGAGACATTTCGAAAACTATTCGTGTTGTCTGAAAATAAAATATAGAATTCTGACATATTCTGGAGACAGTGTTATTGCACCAGAATTATCAACTCATGTATTTAATCCTGTAATCCGTGATGATACCTTTGAAGACTGTAATTCCTCTACCAACTGTTTCTTCCCCGGTAACGAAATATCCCAATTTCGAAGCGAATCCAGTGTCAAATTAACCAAGAAGATATCTTTGTAGGTGTAATCCGAGATGAAAGAGAGCGCTCTGCGCTTCATGTCACTTTCCTCTAGATTCGTCAATTTATTAACCAAAGCTTGCATACTGTGTTTAGACAAATGCGACATCGTTTTGTCGTTAAATACTGCGTCGGTTGAATATAGCGCCTGAATTTCGCAAATTTAGCTTCCCAAAACTTGAACTCTAGTTTCAAGATTTGAAGTTGTCCATGACCTAAGAGTTCTGCTTTACACGTTAACAGAGAAAAAGCTAATCCTTTTATACAATTCTACAGAACTCTTTCCCTCCAATTCCGCTATTTGCGGAAATTTTATACACAAATAACTTCTGTAAAACTATTCCTGAAAAGTTTATAATTGATATCTGTCTCACCGGGTAACCCTCTATCGATGCCATGAGATGAAGACGTCTCGGTGGTGCTCTTGTTCCAAAACTGTTTAAAAATGCAAAAAGCAATATAGGTGCTAGGATGATCGTTATCAATACAATAACAGATAGAACACCCTTAAAAAACTTCCCAGACGTTGGCGTTGGCCGACCTTTTCGTGTTGGGAAATACTGAAATTTGAACTTTCTCGACTAAAACGTGAACTGAAAAACTTCCAAAACGCACACATGAAAAGAAATATATCAAGGAAAGAATCGAAATAAGGTAACTCTTTAAACAAGTTGCTTCCATTATAAGGTTTCAAAAATGAAGCTATGCGTCATAGAAATCTAAATTTCGATGTTACGGCTTATAAGAATTGGTTGCTAGTACAAATATAAGGTTCAAAATGTTTCTATTTCAAAGGATTCAATCCAAATTTCACATGGACTGTTATTGCTACAGCCAATATAAGTTTTTAGGCAAGAAGAAACTACATTATCCAGCCAATGGTCGAATAATATCCAACAGTGTTGTGCCTCTACTTCGTTGTAGTAATTTTCCATTCGAATGAAATCTGCCATTGTAAGAGCTGTCGATGTGAATGTCCAATCCATAACTGTTCGAAGTTCGAAAAGAAATGGTATGCTGAGGTAACTAAATTAGTTTACGCTTTGGATTTGACAATAAAAAGATATTGTATGTAAATTCAGCGGAATTGACAGAATATATCATGTTTCCGCACCTACTTTTGGAACTTTCAGCCACTCCGCTAACTGCAAATTAGAAGTGTTACGGAGAGAAACCGATTAAATCGTGAAGTGTTGTAAAATCGAACATCTTCAATATAATTAGCCGGAAAATTCCAGAACCACCGAGTAATATATCACGATTTATCACAGATGGATAACCATTTCGCATATGCCATGCACTCATGAGTAAATATGCACTTTTTANGAGATATAAAGCAATTGATAATCTATTCCATGTTACCACACGTACCTAAAAAAATACGTACAACTCG